CGACCGGGACTAGAACCCTGCATGCCGGCGCTGCAGGCAGAGGATTAGCAAACCAATGGTTCTTAACATGTACAAAGTTGTGCAACAATTACTTCAGTTTTAGAACATTTCATCACCTGAGTAAAAAATTCCATAACCATTAGTAGTCATTTCCCATTTTCCCACTCCCATCCATCTTCTTCCTGCTATCCCCAGCCCCAAGCAATCAACTATCTTCTTTTGGTCTCTCCATATTTGCCTATTTTGGAATTTAAATATATCTTGTCATGTAATTTTAATTTTACATCCTTTCATCACTATCTTCCATATCCCACCCCCACCTTACTATCCAGGCATCTTGTAGCTAGCATTCTCCTCTCTACTTCTATGAGATTCATGGAATCTAAAATAAGTTACTCAGAAGAAAACATAGAAGACAAGCTCTTTGACTTTGTATCAGCAAGGTACCAAAAACACAAGAAACCAAAACAAATATGAGCATTTAGAACTACCTCAAACAGAAAAATTTCTGCACAAGAAAGGGAACAATTTACAAAGTGAAAAGGCATTCCAGGGAATGGAAGAAAACCAAATGTCAAACAGGATTCATATTTGAAATATATAAAGAACTCAACTCTACAGTAAAAACCAAATGACCCACTTAAAATGGGCAAAGGACTTGAATAGGCATTTTCTCAAAGGAGACATACAAATGGACAATCAGTATAAGAAAATATGCACAGCATCACCAAGCATCAAGTAAATGAATACCAAAAGCATAACACCTCATACGTGTTAGGATCACTATCACCCCAAAGTCAAAAAATAACTGTCAGCAGATATGAAGGAAATGGAACTCTTAAAAGATTGATTCATTTATTTGAAAGACAGAGTTACACAGAGAGGGAGAGACATGAGAGAGATCTTCCACCCACTGATTCACTCCCCAAATGGATACAATGCCCAGATCTGGGCCAGGCTGAATCAGGAGCCAGAGCTTCTTCTAGGTCTCCCAGGCAGGTTCAGGGACCCAAGCCCTTGGGCCATCTTCTGCTGCTTTCCCAAGTGCAATGGCAGAGAGCTGGATCTGAAGTGGAGCATCTGGCATTTGAATCGGTGCACATATGGGATGTCAGGGTTGTAGGTGGTAGCTTTACCCACTAACCACAGTTCCTGTCCCTGGAAAGGGAACTCTTGTAAACTATTTGTGGGTATGGAAGTTGATAGAGCCCTTATGCAAAAGAACAAGGAGATTCCTCATAAAAAATAAAAACAAAACACCATCCAATCTAGCGTCCTGAAATAAGGATTAAGAGCTTCTTAATCAAAAGAAACAGCATAAGCTAAAGCTTGAAACTGCTTGGTGTATTGGAAACTAATGAAGAGTGGATATGGCTACACATGAGACTAAAGGGATGGAATGAATGGAAGCAAAAATCATAGAACGAACATCAGACTGGGAACAGGGAACATAAGCAACCAGTGTGTGTTTCTAGAAAAGTATTGAATGACAGTTGGCAAAGAGCTGACATTACGTAACTTTTAGCTGACTAAAGAGTGCCTGATAATGAAGAGATTAGGTGTATAGAAAACATTTCCATCCATTTGTCCAACTGTAAAGTCAACCATCCTTCCAACTCTCCTTCATATTTTCCAAACATCCATCCATTTAATTATCCATCAAATAGTAATGGTATTTTTTTTAATTTTTTGACAGGCAGAGTAGACAGTGAGAGAGAGAGACAGAGAGAAAGGTCTTCCCTTGCCGTTGGTTCACCCTCCAATGGCCGCCGTGGCCGGCGCGCTGCGGCCGGCACACCGTGCTGATCCGATGGCAGGAGACAGGTACTTATCCTGGTCTCCCATGGGATGCAGGGCCCAAGCACTTGGGTCATCCTCCACTGCACTCCCTGGCCACAGCAGAGAGCTGGCCTGGAAGAGGGGCAACCGGGGCAGAATCTGGTGCCCCAACCGGGACTAGAACCCAGTGTGCCGGCGCCACAAGGCGGAAGATTAGCCTAGTAAGCCACGGCACCGGCCTGGTTTTTTTTTTGTACCAAAAGGAACATATTATTCAAGGAGTATCTGTCCTCTGTATTGTTACTTTCAGGAAAACAAATTTGTATGAGAGAGATCCTGGTCCACATGGAGCTGTTTTTATTCCTCACCTTGGTGGCTATCATTCTCCACCTCTTCCATTTGCTGCTAGGTTTCTAATGGATCTTGGAGCAAAGATCCTGTAAGAGGGCCCCTTGGACTTCTCCAGTTCTCAAGAGGCGTGGCTGCAATCATCTGAACCTGCTTCCACTAAGTCCTCTTTGTCCTCTTTTACGTCCATCATATAGTGGAATTTCCCCTGGATACCTCCATCCCCATCCTGAAAATGACAGTAGTCATCTCCTGGGCTCACAGCTCTACGTGACTTAATTGTGGCATCCTGAAAAAAAAATGCACCCTAAATCACCAGGTAGCTCATTTTTGTTTGGAAGTACTTTTGAAATCTATTTATACAATTTTAGAATTTTTACCTCTAGCTTAAAAATAGTTTCATCTGATGCTTCAGGTGTCCACAGCATCGGACTGTATAGTTCTCCTTCTGCTGTCCCTTACTCTCCTGCACTATTGATAATTTCTTGGGCCCACCTCCCAATCCTGGCCCCAATGCTTGCCTGAAAGTAACTCACATTTCAAAGGCCAGTGGATGGAGAGTCAGCCCTAGCATCAGTGTGGAGGAAGTGTCAATGGCAGCTTGGCTGGCCCAAGTTGTGACACCTGAGTCCAAGGTCAGGAGAAGCAACATTGCATGAGCCATGCATTCACCTGTCTGGTGGCAGTCTAAAGTCTCTCCTGCTCCAAACACATTGACGTGGGTTTTCGTCCAGGAGGCTAAGTCAGTTCTTGTTACTCTGTAGGGCCTGAACTGTCCAGTGACCTTGACCCCCATTGAGAAGTCCCATGACCTGAGAGCTGTGCTGGGATCCTCTGAACCATGTAGGACAGCATGCCTGTGTCCTCGAAACCCTCAGCCTGGACAGAGGGCAGAGGAACCCCTGACACCATCCTATCCTGACCTCATTCCCATCTCCACTCAGCAACCCCCTTGCAGTCTCTGTCAACTCTACTTTGACCTCTGTGTGTCCTCCTTCGCTCCATTTCCATACTTTAGAATCTACAGTTTTAACGTCTCATCTTTTACATTCTTTCTCTTGTCACTCATCTCTTTCACTGAGAGCCTGCCCACTGGAGGGTACACAGACCTTGTCAGAAGCTCAGAACCAGACACCATGACTGGAACTGAAGAATGTCCCACTGATTGGAGCTCCTCCAGCACCTTCCCAGGTCCAGGTTCAACTCCCCCATGGTGAAGCATCAGATCCTCTTACACAGGCACAGACTGATCCACATCCATGAAGGAGCAGGATTTTGGCACTCAGGATCACACTGCTGGAAGGTGACACATAAACAGTTACCAGTTATCCACCTCTCATACCCACCAGCTGAAGACCACATGGCAGAGTTGAGCACCAGTGCCTGGAGAGCCAAGGAATGGAACAGCATCTCTGAATTGAGCTTCCTGATAATGCATACCTTGGAATATGCAAGATATGGCTCAGGTAGGAGTCCCTGCCATTCACATGAGAGATCATTGCATTTCCAGGATCCAGAGTTCAGCCTATACCTGCCATTACTGTTGAGGGAATTTGGGGAGTGAAGAGCAGATGGAAGATATCTCTCTCTCTCCCTCTCTCTCTCACTTCAGATAAACTGAAAATCAATAAGTAAAAAAACTTTAAAGAAAAATTATAAGAGATTGAACATTATATTTTCACCATATATATTATATAAATTATATATTATATAAGTATAAATTATAGCTATGTGATGTAATGATAAATTAGCTGGATTTAAACTCTAAAATGAATACATATAAAAATCATTACATTATACATGATTTAAAAATACAAAGTTATCTGTTCATATAAAAAGTAAATTTAGGGGCCAGTGTAGTGGCATAGCAGGGTAAATCATTGCCTTTGGTGCAGGCATCCCATATGAGTACTAGATTCAATTCTTGGCTACTCCAATTCTGATCTAGCTCCCTGTTGACGCACCTTGAAAAGTAGAGAAGATGACCCAAACATTTGTGTAACTGCCACCCAAGTGGGAGATATGGATGGAATTCTAGGCTTCTGGTTGTAACTCTGTCTTTCAAATAAATAAGATAAATCTTAAAAAATTTAAAATGCATGTTATGCTAGCTCTTTTATTAGCGCTTTTATTTACATGCAGCTGTGATGTAGCACTATACATTAAAATATAATAAAGGTTTCCATTTTGAGGTACAAAATATCCAAGTGGTGTTTAAATTTTATTTTTTTTATTTTATTTGAAAATCAGAGAGAGAGAATCTTCCACCTGCTGGTTCATTCCCAAATATCTACAGCAGCCAGAGCTGGGCCAGACCAAAGCCAGGGGATGTGAGTCACCTACATGGGTTTCATGGATTAAAATAATTGATCCACCACCTGCGTCCTCCCAGAGTGTGCATTCATATGAAGCTGAATGGGAAGCAGAGGAACCAAGGTTCAAACCAGGCACAACAAAGTTGGAGTGAATGTCCCAAGCTGCATAATGACCACAGCACCAAATGCTACCTTCAATTCTTAGTGTTTATGAAGCCTTATTTTCTATGTATAAGTCATAGAGAACATTCATGTTCCACGACTCAAAGGTCTCCAAATATTTATCAATCTGAGAATTCTGAATGGTGAGAACATTTGGGTAAAGCAATTCAATTCATTGTTTCTTAATCCTGGCTGAACACCACCTGACTTTTTATTCATAGTTCCTATAACCTATCCTAAAATAATTGAAAAATGACAAGTGTAGGAGATTTGACACGAGAGCTAGACTAAAAACAATCTTATCTTTATCATGGGGCAAAAGTCCACTCACGAAAGATTAGAGCTTACCTATCTGATTGGATAATAACTTAATGTCTAAATGACACACACACTGAATTAGCAGGGAGTGTAACAAAAGTCTGGGATTGCCGGCTCCTGGCTGTGTCAGGAAGAGAAAGCTTCAATGGATCCAGCTGTGTTCCTGGTGCTCAGTCTCTCCTGTTTGCTTCTCCTTTCACTCTGGAGACAGCACTCAGCGAGAAGGAAGCTCCCGCCTGGCCCCACTCCTCTCCCGATTATTGGAAATATCCTGCAGATGGATTTAAAGGACATCAGCAAATCCTTCTCTAATGTAAGTACTCATTATGCTCCTCCAGTGGCTTGCAAAGGGTAAGTAAATACCAATTTACTATGAAATAAATATATTCCTGCAGTCAAACAATTAAGAGATTTTTGTATAGCAAATACTCCTATCAATTTTGATGTTCCCATTTTTTTAGAGTTTCTCACTCTTGTCAGTCAGTGAGATTGGAGGAAGATTATTTTCAGTGGATTGGGAGATGAGAAACACATAGGTTGTCATAGGGTGGAATCAACATAGTAAAGTGGCAGAGGTATGGAGATAAATATATAGACAGCTCTCCATGAATGAAAGTAGCTGCAGGAGAGTTGAGGATCTCACTTAGGAAACTACATAGTAGATGAAAAAAAATTCTAGAATAACTGCTCAAAGTTATAGGAAGCACAGTTTTATTTTGCCTGCATTATCCTACATTCTAGTTTCTGAAATGTCATACACAATGATTGAGTGGTATTCATCCCAGGGGTGAAAAATTACTCAATATAGATTAATTCATAAAGGCAACACATTCCATTAACTTGCTGAAGGACAAAAATCATATGATTATATCAATCAGTACAGAAAAGGAAGTTATTAAAATTCAACATTCTTTCATGATATCTAAATAAATTAGGTACAGAAATAATGTATCACATATGACAAGCCTAACATCATATTCAGTGGTGAAAACTTGAAAGACTTTCCCCTAAGACCAAGGATAATAATGTCCATTCTTACCAGTTCTATTCAAATTAGTACTACGGAGGAAGCCAATGAACTCAGGCAGTAAAAAGACCCAAAAACATCCAAATTAGGAAGAATGAAGTAAATGGTCTTTGTTTTAAAAAGATATTATCTTATATATGGAAATCCCTGATGACCACACTACAAAACTCTGAATTAGTAAATGAATTCTACAAAGTTGCAGGATACAATATCAACTCAAAATTCAGTTGCCTTTCTACACTCTAACAACAGTATATCTGATAAAGAAATCAAGAGATCAATTCCATTTCCAACAGCCTGAAAAGGAAGTACTTAGAAATAAATGTAATCAAGGAAAAGAAAAATCAGTACAATGAAAACTATAAAATATTGATTAAAGAAATTATAGTAGGGGGCTGGCGTTGTGGCTCAGCAGGTAAAGCTGCCACCTGCGGTGCCAGTATCCCATATGGGCACCGGTTTGAGTCCCGGCTGCTCCACTTCTGACCCAGCTCTCTGCTACAGCCTGGGAACGCAGTAGAAGATGACCCCATCCTTGGGCCTCTGCACCCATATGGGAAGACCCAGAGGAAGCTCCTGGCTCCTGGCTTTGGATTGGCGCAGCTCAGCTGTTGCGGCCAATTGGGGATTGAACCAAGCAGATGGAAGACCTCTCTCTCTGCCTCTGCCTCTCCTCCTCTCTCTGTGTAACTTTGACTTTCAAATAAATAAATAAATCTTTTAAAAAAAGAAATTAATTATAGTAGATGAAAATAAGCAGGAGGATATCCTAAGGATGGAAACACACAGAGACTTATAGATCTGTGGAGCAGAACAGAGTAGCCAAAAATAAACGCATGCAGTTCATTCTTTTCAACACCAGTACCAGAAATATACAGTGCAGCAGGTGGAGTTTCTTCAATTAATGATGTTGAAAAAACTGAAAATCCATATGCACAAAATAATATTGGACCCTTCTCTTAAACTATACACTAAAATAAATTCAAACTGGATTAAAGACTTGGGAAGCAGGAGATTATAGAACTACAGAAATCTGTTTCTTGGGGCCAGCGCTGTTGCAAAGTGAGTAGGGCCGGCTGCCCGCAGTGCTGGCATCCCATATGGGCACTGGTGCTCCACTTCTGATCCAGCTCTCTGCTATGGCCTGGGATAGCAGTAGAAGATGGCCTAAGTCCTTGGGCCCCTGCACCCATGTGGGAGACCAAGAACAAGCTCATCATGTCTCCTGGCTCTGGATTAGCACTGCTCCAGCTGTTGTGGCCATCTGGGGTGTGAACCAGTGGATGGAAGACCTCTCTCTCTCTCTCTCTCTCTCTCTCTCTTTCTCTCTCTCTCTCTCTCTGCCTCTCCTCTCTTTCTGTAACTCTGCCTTTCAAATAAATAAATGAATCTTAAAAAAAAAAAGAAAAGAAATCTATTTCTATAGTTCTAGAGGCTAGAAAGTAGAAAGCAAAGTGCCAGCACTGTCAGGTTCTGGTGAGGGCCCTCTTTTGAGCTGCCAGTGCCATCGTCTTGTTGTGTCCTCTCATTGTCAGGATGAAAAGCGAGTCAGCTAACTGTCTGGTGCTTCTGTTCACGAGGGTTCCATTCTTGTGACCTAATCACCTCCCACAGGCCCCACTTTCAAATGCTACCACATTGGTATCTGGATTTCAGCATGTGAATTCTGGGGGGATGCAACAGTCAGTCTCTTGCAAAGTTTGAAGCATAATGTAATAATTCATGGAAAACTTAGTTTCCTTCTGTAAAGTACAATGGGATATGGTCTCTGTGGCTACTGAGTACAATTTTTGGCTAGATTCTTCACTATTTGGTTTCACCCAATTGTATTACAAAATACAAATTTTTACTTTGCTTGAGGGGAAGAATAGAGGAGGCCCAGGACATGCTCCTCAAGGTGGTACCCTGCTGTTGCTGTGACCAGTGATTGCTGCCTGAGTCATTGGCCTTAGATGACTCCAAGGGTAATGCTGAGAGAGAGACCTTCATCTCATCTCCAGTAAACAATGTCATTCTGGTGAACTCAAAGACAAACTGTGCCATTCTCTGTTAGATTCAGAAAAAAGTGCTAGTGCAACTAACAATACAGTTTGGTCTGACAATGTACGGTATTTTAAGAAATTTGGGAAATTTTTTGCATATTTAAAACAAATGTAACAAATGTAGTTTTCTTTCTACTGGATGAACTTAATCTCAGCACACTCTACTCTTAAAACAGAATGATTCTGGTTGATCTTGAGTAATTACTTAGTATTCAACTTTGCCCTTAGCTTCTATCTGCTGGTATCTCTGGGAGCTGCATAGACAATTGTGTTTGGCTTTTTATTTGTGGAGCTTTCTTGATATTGCACATTTAAGTTTTTTAAGTTTTTATTTATTTTAAGGCAGAGTAACAAGGGTTAGAGAGAGCAAAATAGAGAAAAAGAAAGAGAGAACGAACTTATCTGTTTGTTCACTCTCCAAATGCCTTTAATTCCTGGAGCTAAGCCAGGGTCAAAGTTAAAAACAAGGAACACAATCCAGGGATCCCAGGTGGGTGACAGGAATCCATTATGCTGGCTATCATAGATACTTTTCAGGGTACATCCTAACAGAAAGGTGGAGTTGGGAGCCAGAGCTTGATTTCAAACTTAGATATTTCTATAAGGGTCGTGGGCATCTTAACCACTGAGTTAAATGCTCACAAGATAGATATCATGCATTTTTTAAGATGACCTTCAAGATGTATGACAAGATAGACTTTAACGTGTGATGGGCTCCCGCACTCTGCATTCTGATTGAGAGGACTGGGATCATTTACATCATGCCGACAGTAATGGCAAGGACATTACCCCTCTTCATGTGTCTGTCTAGGGCTCTGAAAAGTAAGCACCTAGAACCTAAGTAACATTGTTTGCCAATGTTGTTTGAGCAGATGGTTCCAAATTACAAGCTTGAGTTTACATGCTTGGTGTTTTTTTTTTTTTAATCACTCTTGGAGTTAAAGGTCCCTTTCACATGATATTATAACACCCTGAGGCGGGCTCCAATGGCAGAATAGGGAGGGAACTTATTGATAGTCCAGGAAAAGATAGTTTAATAAAAGTGGAGATAGTGTAGTCTCAGGGAAGAGTTAGGGAAAAAAACTGCAGAGGAAACTCTTCAGGAATTAGAGGGACACGGTGGATCTATGTGGAGGACTCAGGCGCCCACAGCTTGGGAGCCCAGATGCCAAGAGTCTTCTCCTCTGCACCAGTGCTGGAAAGAGAGGTGAGGTGAAACCGCATAGCCCGAGACACTGGGGGAAAAGTGGCAGGAAGAGCCTAGAGGGAACAAGGCTTGAAGCCCATGGGGGAAAGTACACCAGCCTAACTAGAGAAGAGAAAAAATAAAAGGGATGGTATAGACACGATTCTCTCTTTCCACACACCATACAAAGGCATGCAAGACAACAGAGCAGGAGCCATTTTGGACATACGTAACAACTGTGCCAGCTTGGGGCTGCGCCCACCCTCACCCAAGCAGAAAAACCTGACTGGTTGGGAGTAATAACAGGAAACTAAGACCTAGTGAATGTGTGGAGCTTATGAACCGAGACTGTGAAAAAAAAAAAAAAAAACTAACTCATGGTGTGGGTGAGACGTGAGTAGTCTTGGTGGGTAGTCTTGGTGGGAGACACCACAAGCTCGGGCAGCCTTGGTTACCTGGTGAAAGACATTGCAGGGGAATCTGAGTTTACACTGAGGACTGCACAGATCCTTTGTATGGTCCTTGGGACAGAGCAGACAAATAGTATACCCACTGGGGCTAGCACTCAGGCACTGATTGCCATTGAGGATAAGAGCTCAGTTAAGTGGAATTACTTCCCTTTTAAAAAGAGAGAGAGAGAGAAGAGAGAGAGAGAGCAGATTTATCACGCCAAACCTGGGTGTGTCACCTTTGGCACACCCTTAACCATGAAGAACTGAATAGAGCTTTCTGGCCACACCCACAACAAGCCTCCAGAGAGTCATCAAAAGCAGACAGTCCACTTAATCTAGAGTCATAGTATACTGAGAAAAGCCACCACCACAGTGAGAAAAAAAAAGAAAGAAGAAAAAGAAACCAAAGAATATCTTCACAATGCCAAAAAACAAATGCAGAAACCAAGGAAACAAGACATCATGACTCTCCCAAACAAACATGACACTCCAATAAAAGATATGAAGGTGATGAGAGATTGAAGAAATGCAAGATATGGATTTCAAAAAATTTATGATAAGAACATTTAGAAGTTATCAAAAACAAATGTATGAACTACAGAAATC